TGGCAGTTAAAGTGGAATATAGTGCTATAATTGTGTAGTGTGAATGGGTGTACTAAGGGAAACACAATTAACCTACTTTTAATTTACTCCTGTATGCCATTTCTTTTTGGCCCATTACTTGTGTTTTATTTTAAAAAGCTGTTTGCTTAGGCTGTTAATTTCAGCATTTAAGCAGCTCATGTTGATTCCTGCACCCAGTTCACATTGGCTTGAGTGTGCTAAATCCCATAAGAGCTCGTTACTGAGCAAATAACTTAAGCCTGCTATTTGCAAAGAGTGTGAAAGAAGGCTCCAGCAGAGAGCTTATACTTTGATCAGTGGCTATAGCTCAGGTTTTCTAAATTGTCAGCATCTCCAGATAGGGTTGGGAATGACTCCTATATGGAAAAATGATCTGTGGTCTCTGTCAATAATGCTACGTGAGATGCGCTGCTTCTCTAATGTAATGGTAAGATAGCTTCCTATTTTCAGATTGCTGTGTAGCTTCAGAAACAGCAGATCAGTGTTGATTGTGTGTTTTTAGTAAAGCCTATTCCTTGTGGAAAGGAACCCCTTAGTTATTTATATACTTAGCCCCAAGATAATTGCAACACTTTGCAAAGTTACTTCCTTTGAAGATGTTGTCACACTTTGCCTGGACGTACTTTAAATTTGACACTTCCTGATTTTAAACTTGTTGGGAGCCAATAATTTATAAGTAACAGAGTTAATGGCAACAAATTATTTTGGATGATGGTGAGGGCATAATGAAGTTAATTTCAAAACTAATGCCATGAATGCTAGATATGTTATTTTAGTGTATTGAGCAATGTTTTCTAGTTACTTTAAAATTTGACATTAAAAGGGATTGTTAGGTTGTTCAGAACTGACTTAACAGGAATATTTCAAGTTTTGTGCCATTTAGTTATGAATCTGTATATGTGTTGTTGTTGTTGTTGTTGTGTGTCTCCAAGTCCTTTTTGACTTCTGGTAATGGTAAGGCAACCCTTTCATGAGGTTTTCTTGGCAAGATTTGTTCAGAGGAGGTTTGCCTTTGCCTTCTCCTGAGAATGAGAGTGTGACTTGTCTAAGATCACCTTCAAGTTTCTTGTCAACTTATGGTAATTTCTTATAGTAATTTCATGAATTTCTTATGGTTTTCTTAGGCAAGGAATACTCAAAGGTGGTTTTGCCAGCGCCTTCCCTTGAAATATTGCCTACAGTACCTGGTATTTGTTGGCAATCTCCCATCCAAGTACTATCCACTTAACTTCCAAAAACAGACAGGATCTGGTGCTTTAGAATATTTAGGCCAGGGGTAGGCAACCTTTCCCCTTTAAGGGCCGAGGGACTTCAGCTCCCAGACTCCCAGGAGCTATTGGCCAACATGGGACTATTGGCCAACATGGCTGAGGCTTCTGGGAACTGAAGTCCCTCGGCCCTTAAAGGGGAAAGGTTGCCTACCCCTGATTTAGGCCATATTTATTTATTTATTTATTTATTTATTTATTTGATTTCTATCTTGTCTCCCTGAAGGAGAGAGCCCCAAGGTGGTTCACAAATAAAAATTCTAAAAACATATTACAATAAAACAATTAAATATTACCTAAAAACAATATAAAATTACAGACATTAAAATCACACTAAACCCATGATTTGTTGTTAACTGCCTTCACGTTGGTCTCGATTCATGGGAACCCTATGGATGAGACATTTCCACTCTCCCCCCATCCTCTACTGCTCTGCCCAGCTCCTGCAAACTCATCTTTAATAAAGTCCATCCATCTAGCATGTGGCCTTCCTCTCTTTCTACTTCCCTCCACCTTTCCTAACATTATTGTCTTTTCCAATGATTCATACCTTCTCATGATGTGTCCAAAGTACGACAGTCTAAGTCTTGTCATCTTGGCTTCTAGGGATATCTCTGGCTTGATCTGCTCTAGGACCCATTTGTTTGTTTGTTTGTTTGTTTTTGGCTGTCCATGGAATCCTCAGGACTCTTCTCCAGCATCACATCTCAGATGCATTGATTTTCCTCCTATCTTCTTTCTTGACTGTGCAGCTCTCACATCCATACATGGTAACAGGGAATACGATGGCTGGTATGATTCTGACTCTTGTACTGAGTTAAATGTCTTTGCATTTTAGGATCTTTTCTAGTTCTTTCATAGCCACCCTCCCCATTCTTAATATTCTGATTTCCTAGCTGCAGTCCTCGTTCCTATCAATGTTTGATCGTAGATATGAGAATTCTTTTACTATTTCTATTTCTTCATTGTCTGGTTTGAATGTGTATAAGTTCTCAGTAGTGATTATTTTTGCTTTCTTTATGTTCCCCAGTAAGTCTGCCTTTGCACTTTGTTCTTTGATCTTCCTTAGTAGTTGTTTCAGGTCTGTGAGGTTTTCTGCTAGTATTATGGTGTCATCTGCATATTTCAGATTGTTGATATTTTTTCCTTCTATTTTCACTCCTCCCTCTTCCATGTCCAAGCCTGCTTTCCTTATGATATGTTCTGCATACAAGTTGAATAGGTAGGGTGATAGGATGCAGCCTTGTCTGACTGCTTTGCCAATTGGGAACCATTTTGTTTCTCCGTGTTCTATCCTAACAGTAGTCTCTTGTCCTGAGTACAGATTCCTCATTAGAACTATTGGATGTGTTGGCACTCCCATGTCTTTAAGGGCATTCCATAGCCTTTCATGATCTATGCAATCAAAGGCTTTGCTGTAGTCTATAAAGCACATGCTGATTTTCTTTTGAAACTCCTTGCTACACTCCATTAACCATTGTATATTTGCAATGTGATCTCTGGTGCCTCTTCGTTTCCCGAACCCTGCTTGGATCTCTGGGATTTCTCTCTCCATGTGTGATTGGAGTCTATGTTGCATTATTTTGCTTGCATGGGAGATTAGTGCTATGGTCCTAGAGTTGCTGCAGTCTCTTGTGTCTCCTTTTTTGTGGACTATGATACCCACCCTATATAACAAAACCATTATACCCACCCTATATAACAAACACCCAAGTCACCCCGTAATTATACATCAAAAGCCTGCCTAATAAAGCCATTTTTGCTTGCTGACAAAAGGCGAGCAAGGAGGGGGCCAGCCTTGCTCCTTGTGGCTATGAATCCTTAGCTTACCTCAAACGTAATGGAAAAGTAACAAGCAGTGTAATGAGGCAATACTGTAATGAGAAAGTTTGCCCTTTAAACCCTGTAACAAGTAAGATAAGTTGATTTCCTCTAAGGAACTTTCCTATCTGGAAGGGAGTGCCTTTATTTTTCACTAGATTTCTGGCATGAAAATACAAATCTTGCTGAATTTCTGAAGTGGACTAAAAAAATAGTTAAAAGTTATTGTTAGGTTTGATGTGTAGAATATGCTGTTTAGCATAAATGGGAGTATAGTCTAGAATATGCACCTGATAACTTCAATTGGGATGAATACCCCTCTGAGAACTGATTTTCTTGCTTTTGATTTGAAATATTACAACTGTTGTTTGAGCAGTGTGTCACTTCTTAGTTTCCCTAACCGATCATGAGTTGTACAATGTGGATTGTATGCTAGTGTTATTATGGATCTGTGTATGTGAATTGTGGAACTTGTAATTCTTTTTCATACAATACAAGTGATTAACTGTGGTGGCTCTGGAGGCCAATTTTCCATTCCTGGAACTATCAAGGGGCCATTGTTACTGTCATTGTTGTGCATTAGGGTCACATCCACTTCAAATTATTGTGACTCTACCACAAGCTTTTCTTGACTTTATTCTGAAGACTTATTGCAATTTGCCATTGCTTTCCTCTGAGGCTGGGAGAGGGTGACCTGCCCAAGGACACCCAGTAGGATTCCATGGCAGAGCAGGGATTTGAACCCTGGACTTCCGGGGTACTAGTCCAGTGTTCAGATCATTGCACCATAATGGTTCAAAACCAAAACCAAAACAAACCCAGAAATGTTTAGTGCACGTCTGGTTTTGAAAACAGAGTTATTGTTCCCCTCTGTTAAGCAGTGGGGGAGGGTTGCAACCTATTTTAAAAGGTAGATCCTGAGAGAGGGAACTGACCCTTTTTTGATAGAAAATGGGAGCTCTGGGGTTATACAAAGGAGCTGTAGAGATGCACACATAGGATCTGACCTTGTGATTATTGTTGTTGTTATCTGCCCTCGAGTTGATCTCAACGCATGGCATCCCTATGGATGAGACATCTCCAAGATCCTGTGTCTACCACTGCTCTGCTTAATTCCTGCAACCCCTTAATACTCATGAGCTCCTTAATAGAGTCCATCCATCTGACATGTGGCCTTCCTCTCTTTCTGCTTCCCACCACCTTTCCTAGCATTATTTTTTTCCCAGTGAGTCCTCCCCTCTCTTGATGTGTCCGAAAAGTATGACAGTCTCAGTTTTGTCATCTTGGCTTCCAGGGAGATCTCTGGCTTGATCTGCTCTAGGACCCGTTTGTTTGTCCTTTTGGCCATCTACGGGATCCGCAGCATTCTTCTCCAGCACCACATCTCAAATGCATTGATTTTCTTCCTATCATCTTTCTTAACTGTCCAGCTCTCACATCGATACATGGTAATAGGGAATAGAGTGGCTTGTATGAGTCTATCTTTTGTGCTGAGTTGTGTATCTTTGCATTTTAGGATATTTTCTAGTTCTTTCATAGCCACCCTCCCCATTCTTAATCTTCTGATTTCCTGACTGCAGTCCCTGTTCCTATCAATGTTTGATCACAGGTATGAGAATTCTTTTACTATTTCCATTTCTTCATTATCTAGGTTAAATTTGTGTAGATTCTCCATGGTGATTGTTTTTATTTTCTTTATGTTTAACAGTAGTCCTGCATTTGCACTTTCTTCCTTGATCTTCCTTAGTAGGTGTTCCAGGTTTGTGAAGTTTTCTGCTAGTACTACGGTGTCATCTGCGTATCTTAAATTGTTGATATTCCTTCTTCCTATTTTCATTCCTCCTCCTTCTGTGTCCAGGCCTACTTTTCTTATAATATGTTCTGCATAGAAGTTGAACGGATAGGGTGAAAGGATACAGCCATGTCTGACCCCCTTCACCAACTGGGAACCATTCTGTTTCCCCGTGTTCTGTTCTGACAGTAGCCTCTTTCCTGAGTACAGATTCCTCATCAGGCCTACCAGATGTGTTGGCACTTCCATGTCTTTAAAGGTGTTCTGTAGCCTTTCATGATCTGTGCAGTCGAAGGCTTTGCCATAGTCTATTTTCTGCTGATTTCTTTTGGAATTCCCTGGTGTGCTCCATTAGCCCTTGTATGTTTGCAGTGTGGTCCCTAGTGCCTCTTCTTTTCCTGAACCCCACTTGAACCTCTGGGATTTCTCTCTCCATGTATGTTTGAAGTCTGTATTGCAGAACTTTGAGCATAATCTTGCTATAGTTTCTGCAGTCTTTTGTATTTCCTTTTTTGTGGATGGGGATGTATATTGACCACTTCCAATCTATTGGCCTTCATTTTGTTTTCCATATCTGTTGACTTATGATGGTTAGCACTAGAGTTGACTCCATCAATGTGGATTGCAGTAGTTGAATTGGAATATCAATTCAGGAATTTTCTGGTACTCAAACAAAGAGCTGCTATTCATGGCACAAGATTTCTTTTTGATGTCTTGAGGAGTGGTGGAGGAAATTGCCTTGCTTTCCCTTCCTAGTCAATTTTTCATACCTTTGGAGGGCAGGGGGCATTTTCTGCCCAGTGAGTATGTCTTTTTGCTTTCTAACAAGGGAACCCCTTTGATGTCATTACCTAGAAACAACGGTGTTCGGGTTTATTTCATTTCAGTACTTTCCCTCCTCTTTCTCTGCACACCTGTGGCAGAAAAATCCCAATCCCAGATGGTCTATCCCCATTCTCTTATTTGCCTAAGAGAAGAGGGCAAAGTTCTTTCTAGTGTTCACTCATAGGTTGCGTAAGTTTAAAGAACCCACTCCTATCACTTCTAAATACATCTTTGGGAATGAGCTTTGTAGACTGCTGATATGGGGATAATCAGTAAGATGAATCACATTGATTCCTGCTTATCGGATCAATTCTGCTCAAAATTTGGAAAGTTACTTTAAAATGGAATATTAGCTTTACTTTAAAAATGAGTTATAGCTCTGAAGGCCCCCTAAAAGTTACTGTTATGGTTACAGTTTTTAAAAAGTTAGCTCTTTCCTATTTCTCAAAAGTAGCAAAAATAGATACTTCTAGTTACTTCTAAAGAATCAGAATGTTTTTGTTCAGCAGCAAAAGGCTTAATGTGAGCCAGTATTGAAGCGATGTGATACTCCTCCTTACCATCTAGCATGCATCTACATCGTAGAAATAATGCAGTTTGACACTACTTTAAGTGCACAAGGTCTTCAGCCTTCTTTGCTAAAGAGTGCTAGTGCCTCACCAAACTATAAATGCCAGAATTCTGTAGTATGGAGCCATGGCAGTTACAGTGGTGTCAAACTGCATAATTTCTATATTATAGATCCAGCCTGAATTGGGCCACACCCTGAAAACTGTAAAAGTAGTTTAAAAGTAACAGTTACACCAGAAAAGGTGTGAAGTTATCCCTTGTTAAGTTAATTAAACCATAATTATGTAGTTATAATTTAGCTATTGGTGAAAGGAATAATTACTACAGGTTGAGTCTCCCTTATTCAAAATGCTTGAGACCAGAAGTGTTTTGTATTTTGGATTGTTTTAAAATTTAGAATTCCTGTATTTACATATATGTACATAATGAGAGATCTTGGAGATGGGATATACGTTTTAACACAAAATTCATTTATATTTCATATATACCTCATACACATAGCCTGAAGGTAATTTTATATAATATTTTTAATAATTTTGTGCATGAAACAAATGTTGTGTAGACTGAACCCTCAGAAAGCAAAGGTGTCACTGTCTCAGCCACCCATGAAAAATGTTTTGGTTTTTAGAGTATTTTAGATTTCAGAATTCCAGATAAAGGAGGGTTAACCTGTAGTTACTCCCAGCTTCTTTTTCTCTCATTTCCAGCCTCAGTGCTAAATCCACTGCTAAATGAGGGCACAGGATGAAGTGCCTGGGAACTGTACTGATTTTTGAGGTGAATTTTCTTAATTCTATTCTGTTAAAGTACAGGCTGATGGCATACAACTGGAGGCCTTGGGGAAAACAAAGGAGAAATGAGTTCCTGGTTGTAAATGAGACTAAAATTAAATGACAGATGGTGGCTCCATGTCAGCAAGGTGGTGAATCTTATCTGGGTGTTAGTGTGAACTTGAAAGGAGCTGTCCAAGGTGCCAACCCATTTTCGGCATAGGTTCAGCTTCAATATTTCTTTTAAAGTTCAGATGAAAACTGGTAGTGGATTCATCATTCCACTAACACGCAAGCTTCCATGGATATATTTTAAAATTCTCTCTCTGAAAAATAACTCACAACCTGGACATCTGCGAAGTATGCATGTATCAGAGTCATAATTTTACAAGTCTGAGCTGCAGCGAAAACAAATTGCAACAGTTTCTGTTACACACTTTTTAGTATCTTTTAAGAAACCAAGTACCATTTGAAGGATCTTCCAGAGAATTTACTTAAGACAGGTGTAATTAATCTTGATCTCTCATTTTAGTAAAAATGACAAAAGAACAATACATGGGATAAAAACTCAATACAATAGTATCCAATTTGAGTTATACCAGACCCCTTTCCTCTAGTGTGGGTTGAAATGGTGTGGGTTGAAATCCCACAACTGCCTTCGGGATGACAGTCTGCTCAGGCAAGACTGATGTTCTGGGCTGAATTCCTCTTGACCATTGTGTGACAAATTTAGTTTTGTTATTACAGAATTCAAGAATGGGCTCGGAAACTTCCAGATTTCCACATATGAGGTTGCAACAGCAAAGATATTTCTTAACAGTATGTTAACATAATGAAACTTGGGCAGGAGTTCACTCATAGAAATACTAAAAATATCTGAGTTTTTTTTTTGTTGTTGTTTGATAGATGCTTGTTATTATTTGATGTCATGGTGTATTACTGTCCTTTTACAATGGCAGGATGACATAGTACAGGTCTTTGCCCTGCCCAGCTACTACTACAATAAATATATCTCTGCTGCTTAATGTTATATGTGACCTCCACAATGAGTCACTCATGCCATCTGTAGCTAAGGGAACAAGTCATTTTTCATGGCATGACTTGTCATTTCAGAACTATATGTCAGAGAAACAGACCCACAATAGGTTTGATGAACTGAATTTATCTGTATCTAGGTTGCCATGAAAGTCCCCTTGATTCCCTCAATCCAAGGCTCAGTCAAGTGTTTAATGGGAAATTCCCAGACTTCTTTATTCTGCAGTGCATATGACTATGCATTGTGTTTAAACTGGTAGAAATTCCCTCTTCAAAAATGTGTAGTAATCATGCTGCCAACAGTCACATGTACATCACCTTTCAACAATATATATTGTACCCCCCAACTCTGAATTATTTTTAAATCTTCATGAATCAGAAGGATCTATGGACTGATGCAAAGATAATTTTCTAATTCTCAATAACATGACTTCCTAAACCAGGGATTGGAATTATGTCGGCCTCCAGAAGTTGTTGAACTGGTGTCTCAGGCCCTGATCACCTTCAGATAAAATCCATATCCTCTATTATATTTATTTGATTTTACCTACTTTTATGTTTTTAGATTGGCTTCACGTACAGCTTGAAAAATGGCACCAAAGCATGAAGAACAGGTAAGATGAAAAAATGTCTCTTCACAATTTTGAAATAGTCTGTTTTTTTAATAAATCAGGAAGAAAGTTTCACATTAAGGAAAGCAGAAGTTTTTAATAAACACATTTTGTTTTGTATTGAGTCAGCTGCTCCTCTGTTGTCAGATTGCATAGAACTATATATAACTAATGGGCTAGCTTAAAGCTGCG